ATGTCTCGGGGGTATGGCACCTTGGAATCGATTTTTTTATTTTTTAAAATTTCTGTTGTGGACTCAAGTCCAAATACCACCTTCTTTTTTCAGCCGCATTAAATTTTAAGAATTAATTTTTTTCCATAGCTTTTCTTTTTCTTTTTGCTTTGTAAAATATTCCGGATGTGACGCAGGCTATCAAGAAAACAAACAAAACAAGCGAATTAATTAACAATTCTTAGAATGACTGACCAATGAATTAATGAATAAATAAAGTGAACGAAAGTGAATAATTAATGAAAGTAGTGGCAAATTTACTTCTCCCATCGACCCTAGCGCGCCCAGCCATACCATAATGCATTGCGCTTCCTCATTTTCTCAACGATTCGCCATTTTGATTTTCAAAATTTCAAAATGGCAAAATTTCTCGCCTTTTTTCTTTTAAATATTTTCCTTTTATGCAGAACTTCTATTGCTAGTCCTACCAACGGCAAAAAACCAGGTAAATTAGATTAAAAGTAATAAAAATATAAAATTTTGAAGGGTTTGTAAACGTACTTCCAGTCCTGGTAGTCTTGAAGGTAAGCTTAACTTGGCGTGAACATTTTCTTAGAAAGTTTTTCTCTTTATCTTTTTGAATACAGACAGTGGTGCCGGTGTACAAAATACTCAGCCACCTAAAAGAAGCAAAAGTCAATCGATACACGACAAAAGGTATTAAACGTAAAGTTAAAGTTCATAATTTTTCTACAAGAAGTCAAAAGGCCTATTGTGGTTGTTAAGCTAAGCTTATATGTTTTTTGCACTTACAGCTAAATCCGGATCCTCGGGAATATCTATTACTTATAAAGAAAAGTGGCTGGTCCTTTTCTATCGTTTTCTCAAATTTTGGGCTTTTTTATCCTTTCTTTCTTTCTTTCTTTTGGTCTAATTTGTATCATTTTTTCTTGATTTCCTTCGATAGTACTTTTCTGACTAGTATAAAGCTTTTTTACAATAACTTACAAATTTCTCGCGCGCTGATTGGTTAATTTTTATCATCAATAAGAGGACAGACAGATAAAGCTGACGTCAACGAGCGCGCGCTCTTTCCGTTGGTTGTTTTGATCGCTAAAAATGAGAAGTTTTTATCGTTTTTGTTATTGTAAAAAACCAATTGACATCAGATTTTTATGTGTCTGTCCTCTTATTGATAATAAATTTCGCCATCACATTGTCAAAGTAGTATGCGGATCCACACTACTTTGACAATGTGATGACGCAATTTATTGTCAATAAGAGGACAGACACATAAAAATCTGATGTCAATTGGTTAAATTTTATTGGCATGCAGCCAGGAATGGTATTTGAATAATCGTCGAAAATTAAGAACTGTTGGGCCTTTTATTTTTTATTTAATACTGCGGTGTTTTCCTGGTCCACTTTTCATTAATTTCAAGGTTTTTTTTTCTCATATCATGATTTTATAAGACCTTCAAACAATGAGTAATTGCAGCTTATTCATTCTCAAATTTGCTGCCTATCTTGTCTAACCATTAGGTTATCATAGGTAGCTTGTACCTATTTTTTTGTTAATTTATATATTCATAACTTGTGAATATTTATCAAATAGAGGTACTAAATAATAAAGTATGTATGTATGTATCAAATTTCGAAAAATACGTTGAACAAATTAACCTGCAACCTTCCTGCAAAAATCTGAGGAGATATTGTAGAATCAATGCTCATAATATTGACTTATTAAGTGTCATAAATCTCCATGCATCAATTTAATATTTCATTTTATTTTTATTTGCGTCTAGGATTATCCAAGCTTTGGACAAACTCCCTCCTGGAGTAAGGGAAACACTCACTCGTGGAGGGGCAGATGCTTTCAAAAATATGACTAAAGAGATGATTAGGAAACTCCCTGCATCAGTGTACGCTTCAGTTGGGGTAAGTAGCAATATTTTAAAAACACAGTACTAACATATATTTAAAAATATGTATCTGTGTTAACTGTGTACCTATGTACGTCATAGCCGCCATGTTGAAAGAATGCGTAAACAAATGTTTAATTTCTTAATGCAGATAGATGCCATACGGTCCATGGACAGAGAACAACTGAAAGAAATGACAATGAACATGAATAAAGGAACAAACAGTAAAGATCTTGAAACAATTCTGGGTGAAGTTGATGAGAATCAATTTAATGATATGCTAGAAGATATGCAGGTAATATTATCATAATATTCATCAACTTCTTCATCACCATACTATCAACACTATCATTAATTCATTACCATACCACCACCATCATTATCATCAGCAGCAGCAGCATCATTATCATCACCGCCATCATCATCATCTTCACCACCATCATCACCATCATCACCATCATCACCATCATCACCATCATCATCATCATTACCATAATCATCATCACAATCATCATCATCACCACCACCGTCATCATCATCATCACCACCATCATCTACGTCATCATCAATATCATCACCGGCATCATCACTGTCATCATCATCATCTTTGCCTCATTATCACATATACGTATATCATTTTCTCATATTATTTTCACGTACATGTTATATCTTCACTTGCAATACAGAATTCTAGCCAGAAGTTATCTAAAAAACAAATGGAAGCCTTTACCAAACAAATGAAAGCCAAACGTGGCGATCCTTCCACATGGTCAGCAGATACAGTTAAACAGCTGGGCAAGATGGTGACAGGTCTATCGCCTAGAGAACTCAAGGAACTTGCTGGTGCTGGTCCAACTACGTTTGAAGCAAGGTATATTCAGTGTTTTTGTATCTATCTGTCTCTGCCTACCTTGCTGGTATCCAACGCTGAGATCTGTAGAGCACAGAGTAGAATAGCAAACTTAGGAACGCGAGGCTTAGCCAAATATTTTTCTTGCTTTTCGAGTGCTCAGTACAGTTCCGGCCCAGAGTGTTCACATCACAATACGGCGATATAAACAGCCGTTTTATATTGCTTTTATAAAATATTTTTGAACGACTTTGCGTGAGCGTGTCTCTGTCCTCTGATATAACACGGTAGCCAGCCAATCAGCGCGCGCGTGATATTCCAAATATTTTATAAAGTATCATAATACTCCATTTTACAGTTCCATTCAGTGACCATGAATGATAGTTCCTAGCCGAGGCTGGAGTTTCCGCGTATAGCAAAACTACAGTTTATCATGCGTGGTAACTCCAGCCTCGGCTAGGAACTATTTTTCGTGGTCAATGAATGGAACTGTAAAATGGAGTATTGCCATTTCATCATTATATGTGCACAGTTTAGAGGAGATTCGAAAAGGAAACGTAAAGGAGTTATCCAAGGGTCAAAAATTAGAAATCGTCAGTGGAGCATTACAAACCTATGGGTCTCAAGACAGGTGGAATGCCAGCACCGTCCAGAAAATGTCCAAGTTTATTGGGAGTATGAAAGGCGAAGACCTCCGGAAAATCCCTACCACAGCTGTAAGAATTAGTATTCAAAAACTATGCAATATCTATAAAAGTTATATACTAATATACCTATTTTTAAAAACGTTTGAGGTCAAAGATCATGCTGAAATTTAAAATTTAAGATCGAGATGAATTGTGTGCGATGATTTGTGGGCTGTGAGTTGTGAATTAAGATATGGCCGGCGCTGGTGAATGTGGTGTTCGACCGACAACGTTTTTTGAATAGGTAGATAGATTGATAGTAGGAAAGAAGGAAAGATACTAATATCGATCGAAAGAGAGATCCTCATCTCCCACCCCCCACCCCCCTCCCTCTCCTCTCCATACATACTTCCCCTTCCTGGATCCGCCCTTGCTATAGAACTATTAACAAGCAACTACTTCTGTGTTATACATAGCTTTAAATAAAAAACCGTATGTATCAGTTATAATATTCTGTTCGTGTTGATACTAGCTCAAAGGTGCATTAGCAGACCTCGCCGCTTCCGATATGGACAAAAAAAGCTCAAGACAACTGTTGACAAAGTTAAAGGATCCAACTAATGGCTATGGAACACCAGACTCGTGGAATTCTGAAACTCTCAGATCGTAAGAAGTGAAACGTGTATTTTAATAACAAACTACCCCTAGAGAGTTTTCTAGCCCAACCCCCCAACCCCCACCCCCTCTAAAAAAAAGAGATCGTGTCCGCGCGCCTTTCAACTTTTAAAAGGGGTGGAGCAAGCGTTCCCCTCCCCCTCCCCCCTTTTCTTCTAAAAATTAGTATAGCTATTGATGGGTTTTTCAGTGTGTCATTAATTTTAATCAATTTTAAGAATATCAACCAGTGATTGTGATTTTTCATTATGTTAGCATGGGTAGTTTATCTTCCGGAATGACAGTCAAAGACATCAAAAATCTCGATAAAAATGCTGTTAAAGGAGCTCTAGATACCCTAGGAAAGGCAAAACTCTCTACCAGTCAGGTAATATAATGTTACGCTATAGAATTATTACGAAAGTAGAAATATCATTAAATAGAAAGAATAGATAGGAATCATGACCGTGAAAAGGTTTATAATTCTGATACAGAATCATGTTCATTTGCATAAATTAAACTTGAACTAGGATTTTCTTGGAGAGATTCAGTTTTATCTTGAGAATTTTAGTGAAACACAAAGGAACTAGCCTAAACGTTTGTTAAGTAATATACAATATATACAATATATAAAAACTTTAGGCGTATACAACACGGTCGCTTATATCGTATACAGTCAATTCAAAAAACGTTGTCGTCGACCGACTCAAGCCTACGCGACTGCACCGAAAGGAATATGGGTAAAAATCACTGAAGCGGTTAAATATTCGTTCTGAATTAATTGTTCCCGCTAGTAGTAAATATAATAATGGCGAGAAACAATCCATCAAATGCATGTCTTCGGGTTTAGGGAAAGAAAAGCAAAGTAGTTATGATTCAGTTCACAATTCCGAAAATATGAAGGCATTAAAAAAATGTCTCCTTCAACACTTCCCGCTCGCCTACGAAGGTTCGTGCTTTAAGCATAACTAGTCAGATAAAATTATGGAGTCAGCTCGGCTTCAATGATTACTACCCAGAGTTCCTTTCGGTGCAGTCGCGTAGGCTTGAGTTGGTCGACGACAACATTTTTTGAATTGACTGTATATTACTTAACAAAATCCTACAGCAATCCTCATGTTCAATGATAAGAATCATCAACATTTTCATTTATAAATTCATTGCATTTCTATTTAAAAGTGATGCCACAAAAGTAATGCAGCTTGTGATTCAATATTCCGAACAGACGTGATATAACATTGTCACTATGCTGATATTTAGGCAAAAAAATTGGCGTCAAAGATGAAAGAAGCTCTAGGTTCTCCTGACAGCTGGTCAGCGGAAACTATCAAGAATGCTTCAAATATTCTCCGTGGTTTAAAACCCAAAGACCTTCGTAGCCTTCCCGCTGATGCCATCAAGGGGTCTTTGAAAGAGTTGAAAACGATCGAGTTCTCCCGTGGTCAGGTATTTAAATGAAACCGCCCAATCCTTGGACAGACATAGAGAGACACGTATACTTAATGGAGAGACAGACAGGTTGAATGCAGGCAGACACACAGTCAGTTAGTCAGACAGACAGAACCCAGGTTGCCAGACACACATTGAGTTAGTAAGACACAACATTGTGTTAAGTATCTGGAGTTTCAAGTTTGCAACAAATGTATTTGTTAATATGTATTTAACATTTTCTCATCAATTTATAACAGGCAAGAGAGCTTGCTAAGAAAATGAAAGAAACACTTGGCAATGTAAGTAAATAACTAGAAAATACTTGCTTGTAATAACTCGCAGTAATACCACCTTAATCCTTGGACTATTTTACATTTGCTTGTATCTATACTTACTTGCCTCTTCACTCCTAGCCTTCATCTTGGAATGAAAGTGTTGCAGAAGAAATGGGTCCATTAGTTGGTGGTCTTCCTTTGTCAGATCTGAAAAACATGTCCAATAATGTCTTGAAGTCTGTGCTTAAAACACTGAAGCAAGATGATTCTATCCCTCCTTCTAAGAAACGAGCCATTATCGCAAAGGTACTGTGAAGTCGCGTTTACACGAAGCAACATTTCCAACAATATTGCAGCGTATGTCCATTATAGCTTATTCTGTGGGACCCAAGATATATCCAGCCGCAGAGGGGCCGGGGGTGGATTCGGTGGAAAAATAGGATATAAAGGTAAAATTTACCTTTGTAGGTAATARCCACCCCCTTGAAATCATTCTAGATCCGCCACTTCGCCCCAATATGATTACAAATTTCAATCCTGGCTAACAAAGAATCTAAATTATTTAGGCTAAGGCTGCCGGACACTTCAAGTTACTGGAAGCAGGATCTTTCCTAAAGACTTTCTCCCTGAAAGACCTAGAGAACGTGGACCCCATCAATGACCTTGGCCTAAACGACACCATCGAAGCAAACAGCACTACTGACACAGATAGAGAATTATTGTCATGGAAACTCTCACAAGCACGCAAAGTTCTTGAAAAGATCAAGGCAATTTGGGGAGAACCGGACGATGCTAATTCTGGCTGGACACTGGAAAATATTGTGTAAGTATATTTTAGACTGCGAGGCAATCGTAATGCTGAGTCGTAGCACGGTAATAGTCACAGCACGGCACGTAATATAGACTACCTCCCAACAAATCACAGCTCACGAGATCGCTGTTAATCTAATGAACATGCTTGTTTATGGCACGGTGATGTCAGCACCAAACGCAAGCTTTTTACCGCTATGCTAAATTGTTCTATGAGATGCTATATAACTATATAACTGTGTGAATATTTTACAGCCGACTAAAAGGTCTAGCTATAGGAGTGTGGAAAGGCTTGATCGACAAGATACCAGCTCATGATATTGTAGACGTCTTGGAGGAATTCTCACAGCGCGATGGGTTTACTCCAGGGCAGGTAGGTCTCCTGAATTAGAATTAGATCTTCTTCGTGCGTAATGATACGAAGCAGCTTGTGCGCGCAACCGCATTTCTCTGCACCTAGTCGTGAATTGTACTACTTGTCCGAGAGGACCCGGTTCAAATGATGAAGAAAGTTTGAAGCTTCTTGTAGAATTTTATGTTTCTTTTTGATTCAGGTAACTCTCCTTATTCACCGCGCCAATGCTCTTGAAAATAAGGGTTCGGTTACTCTCTCCCCAAAACCTGACACGTGCCTGTGCCTTGACTTTGATCAGCCCAGAGGTTGTTATCGATAAGATTTGAAATTGCTAAAGTTGGCCTAAGTATACACGTTAACACGCTTTTTTACTTACATTCTTTAGGTGAAGATGATATTAAGAGCCTACAAAGAAAAGATGCGCCTTGAAACACCATCGAACTTTTCTTCATTGGACGAGATAGAGGTTGATTCACTTGGTCGATTTATTACTGAGCTGGACGACGCAGACCTAGAACACCTATCAAATTATTCAGGGATTGAAGCAGTTAGACAGATGGGACAGTTGGAGTTGAAGGAGAAGCCTCATAGATTAATCAAACGCAAACTAAAGATTGCTTTGAAATTGATAGTACGTATGCAACCCTTTCAAAAGTGTTTGGTGGAGACTTTGTTGCAAATCGCATACCAATTCCGAACTGCACTCTGAGTGATGTGAATTAAATGAGCAAGAGGTCCTAACAATATGAAAATTTCCCGAATTATATCGGCATGTCTTTTCCAGGAAATTTTCTTCTCTGTTGAAAATATTTAACAATTATTCGCCGAAGGTGAAGTGAATATCGGGAAATATTTACCGAGACGCGAGCGTTCGAGCGGCGTGGTAAATATTCCCCAATAATCACTGAGCCTGAGGCAAATAATTGTTTTAGTATAAATACACAGGTGATTCTTTCGAAGAAAGAAAAAAAAGAAGATAAAAGGCATTTTTTTTCCCGGTAACAGCAACAAAGCGGCTGGCCGCCATTTTGGATTTTCGCTCGAGGTGATTATCGTGTGATAGTGTGAGTTTCTTGACCAATCAGCGCGCGAGATTTTCTATAATCACCTGCGTATTTTTACTAATTACATATATTCCATACATATGATCCACAATACATTTCAAGCTTGGTATGTAACATGTAACACGTAACTTGCAACAAAATCTTCGCCAACATTTTCTGACATTTCTCCGCGATATGCCAAAATATATCACGTGATTATTTTTCCTCCAAATAGTTGGAAATGCACTCATGCGCAAACGGTTTTTAAACTCAACTGTAAAATTACGATCCATACTTACTGTAGGCCCGAATGCGTAGACTTCAGGATGTCCGACCTAATGATTTACTCTCACAAGACTTGGAAGATCTCGGTAACCTTGCACTTGGTTTCTCCCCTGAAGAAGTGGCCAATATGACATCTGATGCCTTTAGAGGTGCTGTACAAGTCTTTGGGCAGATAATAGGGTTTAACCGAGAACAGCTTACTGCACTTGCCTCTAAAGTCAAGGAAGCTTACAAGTGAGGAATTAAGTTAGATTATTAAATATTCTAGTTTCGCGTGCTCTGATGTTTACGCTGTATATACAAAGAGTAAAAGACTAGACCGATTTAGTAAAGACGACGGGTGTAAGGATGTTCTTTTTTAGCCGCACTCTTTTGTCTTTGAGTCTGCCGCCCTCGTCAGGACGTAAAAACGTGCATACGACGTCTAGTTACGAATGCCAGGCTTTAAGAAGGCTCATGCTTTTGTCTTGAGGCCGCTTTGTTTTCGTTAAATATGTCTAATAAAAATGAGTAAATCGGCATACTGGAAGTCGGAGAATATTCGAGGAGCTTTACCAGCGCAAACAGCCTGTATCTGTTCCCTTGTACGAAATATATCAGACCCTAATGTATTTAATCTAATGTTCAAGGGCAAATGGGACGGCTGCCGATGCTCCATCATTACTTACAGACGAAGATGTTCTCAACATAGCTAACATTCTGAGTGGGTTTACAAGAGAAGACTTTCTCAAGATGAGTAAGGTCAGTGGAATCAATTACCTCCATCTACAAGACGCTGGGGCTAATGCAGAATATACGTGTAGGGGGTAGGAGGGGTAGGAGAAGACAATTTAATAATTAAGAAAAATAATTTAAAAAAGGCAGTGTGTGTAGACTATATAATAAGCGTCGAAATCAGCACCTCTTGTTACGTCCTTACATGGATGTATTCTACTATCTAMTTTACTGCACCCAACAAGAGGGCACAACGTCTTAGGGCAAGATCAATATTTATTTATTGGTTATTTTTTATGTTTGTGTAGGATCGCGTCCAGGATAACATTGACTTTCTTGGTTTGCTAGCTCTTGATCGTGAACAGGCTGAAGCATTAATGACAAGAGCAACAGCAGCCCGACGAAAAAGAAGAGCAACCGGTAAGAATATACGCAAAAGCTATAAGTAGTATAATAAAAAAAGAAAAATATTTAGTGAAAATCTGGGAAGTGGACAAAAAAAGGAAAAAAAGGGAATAACTGGGAATAGTTGGAATGTTTGGGATACCAGGGGCGGATCCAGCCAAAATTTTAGGGGGGGGCTGGTTGAGGGGGGGGGGGGCTAAGTGAGTTTCTTCCGTCAACACAACGGAAAACAATATAAAAAAGCTTCGTCCTCCTTTGCTGAAAGGGGGGGGGGGGGCTTCAGCCCCCCTTTGCCCCACCCTGGATCCGCCCTTGGATACAGGACTAGGGATTTGGGTAGACACAGAAAAAAAGTACCGTGACTCTAAACAGAGGTAAATAAAACTGTCAACTATCCTCAAGTAGCATACAATGTCTTACATTTTCAAAATTAGGTCGGTTTTGCATCCATCATTGTGAAAAATGACCACCTTGTCATCCTTAAGTATATGTAGTCTTGTAATACGTTTTGTTGTTATTGATTAAAAGATCTATCCTCTAAGACTGGTGACGAGCTTATATCCATGGGTGCAACACTATTAGCTCTCACCCCATCAGATATTGCTACCGTAAATGACACGGCATTTGATGATGCTGCAGATGCTATTGGCCGTGTTCAGGGATTTAGTCGAGAACAACTCCAAGCCTGGGCAGACAAGGCTAAAGAGGTAAATAAGAAACAAAAAGAGAAAAAAAATGAATGAATGCATGAACGAATGAATGAATGAATTAAATATGTGGAAACTGGGAATAATCGTGACATAACTGTGACAGCTTCGTGTCAAAGCATTCTGATTTGATGAATAATGAGTAACCTTGTGTTCAGTGCCCGGTGAATCCTTGTCCAGTGCATAAGCCAATGCTGTTATCCAATACATTCTTCCAATGCATAACATCTCTCCGTCCAGTCGGGCCTTGTGATCTGTTTACTGATTTTTGATCACCACCTGACCACTTGCGTACCGTGCCGTGCCGTTGTGTCACGCTTATTTTAAATACAACTATATATGAATCCTTGACGATAAGTGGATGTCACACAACTTGTGTCACGTTGATATTCTAGGCATGGAACAGCAACGTGTCGTTGATCACATCAGAGCAGCTCCTCAGACTTGGTGCCATAGCGATAGGATTCAGTCACGCTGACCTAGGTAACATGGAATTACTTTCTAATGACGTCATCGAGAGTTTGGGATCACAGCCTGTAGCGAGCAACGCTACAGACAACGGTACAGGTGTCGCTGGTTACACAATGGAACAGGTCAGTCAAAAAAGTTAAGAAACTTGTGTTGCCATAGCAACGGCAAATATGGAAGGCTTAACTAGAATGGACGAGTGTCTTATTTAAATGATTATTGCTTTCTTACATAAATCGTAGTTATCGAGTGCTTTAACCAGGATAAAGACTCTCAAAAATAAAAACATTTCTTCGTTCACTGGAGAAGAGATGGCTGCTCTGAAGATATTTGCCCTAGCAATGACACCTGCTGAAATGACAAGCATGACCACCCAAGCATTTGGGTAAATATTCTTACACTGTACATTTCTATTATATTCTATTATATTATTACAAAAGGGGAAGAGGCCAAGCACATGATGATAATACCTCGAATTGAGTTACCTGCGCTCCATACTCTAAGTTCTCTCGCCCAAGCCATTTCCGGTCACACCAAACCACAGGAAGCCCATACAAGCTTTGGGAGCTAAATGTAATTTAAAGAAAAAAATTAAAAATTAAATAAATAAAAGCTATTATTTACTCACATGAAGTGTTGTTTACGTCGTCCTAGTTCTTTAGTAGTGATTTCGAGCCATTTTAGCGATTTAAAAAAAAATTTCCCTTCCCCTCTACTAGTAGAAGACAAATTACATTCAGCTCTCAAAGCTTGTATGGGCTTCCTGTGACCAAACGCTGCCTTTGGTCGACTATACTTTCAGAATATGATAAAATCTCGAATTGCATGGGTTGCCTGTGTCAGTCTGGTCAAGTTATTTTGGACATAACATGTTATCTTGTGTCTTTAGTGTTGCAGTTAGTACTCTTGGAGGCTTGATTGGCTGGTCACCCGATCAAATGGTGAAATTGAAAGAGAAAAGTATCGGGTTGTACGGTCCTCTAACTAACTGGACAGCTGCTGAGCTGAGAGAATCAGGAGGTGCAATAGGTTTGTATAACTCTTATCTTTTTCATGATTATATATTACTAGCTTGAAATACGTAGCGAGAGCATCATGGTTGATAATTAATAGAGCAGGTGCATGTTACGTCATTGCCGCCATCTTGGTTGACGATAACAAAGCATTCCTCATTAGCTTATCTTGTTAGATCAACCAACATGGCGGCTGTTTCACTGTTATTCATATCTCAAGGGATTTTGAGTCACAACATTGCACATAGTCTATAGACCACTTTACCTTGGGCGTAACGCTTTCCCATTTCAGACCACATGTCATTCCCTAGAGTATCAATTCTTTGTTTAATGGTTGCACATGAGAAGACACATGAATATGGATACGACTCAAGCAAAGAATCTTATACTCAAGAGAATGACACGTGAAGCGTTACGCCCAGCCCAAGGTAAAGAGGTTTTATTGTGGTTTTTCTTTTCCCAAACAGGTGGATTTAGCCCACAAGAACTTCAGTCATTATCCACTGAATACTTGACTATGGTTTCCCCTTCAGCCATTGCCTCTATTCCTGCCTCTCTGTTTGCGGTTAGTAACAGTTACCAAAATAGAAATAGAAAATTTCAACGTTTTTGTCATTCTGTCATTCCCGCTAAGTCTAAGCACATTTCTCAATTGTTTCGACTATTTTTCCAAAACAATAATTTACAAAATGGAAATCTAGAATTTACCCCTTCCCTGCGCAACTGTTTGTGGTGCTTCTTTGCATCTTTCCAACTGTTCATTATTATTATATTGCTCATAAATAGTACGCGCGCTCTGATTGGTCGAGAACTGTGCTTTATTAGAGAACAAATTGAACGACTTTGCCGAGCGCGCTGCAAATTTTGAAGAGAACTGAGTGTATAAAAAGAGCATTGCTAAACTACAAAGAACACCATTTTTCTACATGATAAAAACAGCTTTATGAATATGCATACAGGAATTTACAGTCGACCAGTTGCAGGGCTTCGACTCGAGCCAATCGGCTGCGGTTACCACTACTCAGAGGAATTCTCTCTCAGCGGAGAAGCTGAATGCCCTAGATAACCCTGACGCTACTCCCATAACAACAACAACAACAACAACAACAGCAACAACAACAACTGGGACAGGCAGTATGACTACAATCAACAGCAAAGGTAATGAAATTCTACTTGAACCAAAAATCCTTAAAAAGATATTACTAGTTTTCTTGGGTATTAACTACTGTATACACTCAATTGAAGAATCGTTGTCGGGTTCAGAAACATAGAACATAGAAGCTGAAACCGAAATGACACATGGGAAGTACGTTAATTAGATGCATGCTGTGACCGGCGACCTACCCGTGGCATCATCCACTGTTTTTAATACGTGTTTGGCATTCTAAACCGACTGCATGGATGGCGCAAATGAATAAATTATAACATAATTATGTCATTTCCCATGTGCCATTTCGGTCTCAGCTTTTATGTTCTGTTTCTGAACCCGACAACGATTATTCAATTGAGTGTATGTATTTCCTGCCATGAAGAGATTACAAAATTTCATCGATATATTGATCTAGATGGTGAACACTCCCTTAATTTAATTTAATTTATTTTTGGTTAATCTTGGTTAATCCTGTTGACCGATCGAGGACTGGGGCCGTTCCATGAATGAACGCGCGTGGAATAAGAATGTACTATGATTTCATTCCTAAAATTCATCCAACCATTCATTTCATTATTTTTAATCTAATAGAATGGTCAACGATTTCAGACCTTTCAGTAGCTCAAAAAAAAAAAAAAAAAAAAAACCTTCATTGGGTCCCCTAGCTTTCGACTAACAGCTTCTCATCAAATTTATTATGTTTAAAACAAACTATAAAAACTACTTATTATCTCGATAGTATTTTCGTCATTATTTTTGTATAGCATATTACTTATAAGCAAATCCCTTCAAACATATTTAATCCAAGAACTGTTCTTAACTTATTTATGCATTGTAATTACTTATGAATAGGGTGCAGAAAATTTCATTAACCCTCTCGGGTTGTATTTCTGCACTCTACCACGATTCTTTGTCCTTTTTACTAGCATCAATAGCCATGTAAATATGTGGAAAAAATAAACCTTAAACCTTGAACCTTTATATCTTTTCAGGACATGTGCAGACTGGAAGTTTCTTTATTCTCGTTCTTCCTGCAATTTATAGCATGATATACGTTGCCGATTTTTAAGGCCTTTTTTGTTTAAGCATCTAATCACCTTAATTTCCTTGATGCTTTCACGAGCTTTCTCAAGAACGATCTATGCAGTTTATGATATTCTTTACGTTTTGCGAATATACTCAAATAAATGTTGGTAACAACATCATTGACGAGTGTTAAATTTAGATAACGGAGATATTATTTACCATATTTACGAAAACATTCTGGTTGGGAGTTTACAGCAGGGATCGTGCTAAGGTAACCACCTAAAATTCAAGGACTATTCAAGGAGTATACAAGGACCCAAAAATGAATTTTCAAGGAGTATGTTCAGCTAACTATGCCAAGGTTTTACACGGTGGTTGCACATGGCTGACTTTCAGATTTTCCAATCTTTCTGACTAGATCTATTTCAGAACCATGCAAGTAATGATAGAAGTAAAAATTCAAGGAGTTTTCAAGGAGTTTTGCTAAAATCGAAAATTCAAGAGTTTTTCAAGTGCTCTTGAAAACGTGAATTAAATTCAAGGAGTTTTCAAGGAGTTTAAGGAGTAGTACGAACCCTGTTACAGGCAGTACATAAACCGCCCTCAGATCTATCTCACCTAGATAAGACGAATGGCCAATCTGTCAACTGCCTTGAAACAACTGTCCAGATCAAATCTGCTTTCTAATGGCACACGAAAATCACTGGCTTGTTTTGAAATGACCCAGGAAAAAAAGCAATCGTAAAAATAAAATATAAATTATAGGAGATAAGGGAAATCCTCTGCCATGGAGGATGACGTTAATACAAGATAAATATGCCGTAGTCTGTTTCTACTTTTTCGTTATCACTACGCCAAAGAAAAGGACCAAGTTGAATTTTTGCGATCATAAAAGGACCCTTAACATGACAACTGTGTGAATATTATGATGCAGGCATTTCTCGTTCCCATTTCATAAACTGACCTCTTTGCCTTGGGTGATGTTTTTCCATTTCACACTGACCTCGTTTCATTCCCTAGAGTATCATTTCTTTGTTTAACGGTTGTACATGAGAAGACAGATGAATATATGGATACAACTCAAACAAAGAATCTTATTCTCAAGAGAATGACATGGTCTGAAATGGGAAAACCTTTCATCCAACAAAGGGTTTGTTGACGTTGTATTGGTTAACGTGCAATCCAAAGCCTTGAGCAATAATGTTTAGACCAGTTATCGAATGTGTCTCATTTGTAGACCATCTTTAACCCCATGTCTGGTAATAGCCCCCTTCACAGTTCCCTGCGCCATCTTGAAAGGTAGCCGTGCATTTGCATTGAAGCGAAACGAACGGTGAGCTTGCAATGATAGATACATGTGAATAATTGTTCAAGGCGTTAAAAAAAGGTCTATCATTGCGAGCTCACGTCTTGCTTCGATGCAAAGGCATGGCTATCTTTCAAGATGGCGCAGGGAACTGCAAAGGAGAGTAATGATAAAAGGGACTATTGAGAAAATATATCATTGTTGCTTATAATAATTAAGCTCTTAGCCTCTTGCGCTTGAACTTCTCACCAAAACAGGTAACCATGACAACCAAAAAAGCTATGATAATACCGCTGGTTATTAGAAAAAGGATTGCAGGCTTGGTATCTACTGGACTGTTGAGTATGTACTCGGTATCTGAAAACAATGGAAAAATGTATTAGCAACTCCTGCAGAGCTAGACCCATTTTTATGGATGTTTTCTTGCAATTCCTTCACATTAGTTAGAGGGTCAAGTTCAGACTATGGAGAGAAGGACTAAAATGGCACCTCGATCTAAAACGCGCCTTCACTTGCACTGCATAAAATAACCAAGAAAAAAGAAAGTACTTTTCTACTTGGAAAAACTCTTACCTTTATTGATCCCTTTATTTTTTCGTTCTCCAGGTAAAAAAGCTTTGTTACTGCTCGGGCTCCCTGTGTTACTTACACTCACATTATTTGGTGCCGAACTAAGGGTCCCTTTTTTAGTTGGGGTCTTATGTATTACCACTTCTTTTGTCCTTGTGGTATCATTAGAACCCAGTGACGTAATGGCCCTATTGTTAGTACCAGGCTCTTGGAGGGTCTTGTTGGTACTAGGGTACCTATGTGTGGTTGATGCCTGAGCCCCTGTGTTTATATGGACCACTGTAGGGATATATTGTCTTTGGTTACTGATGTGTTGGTATGTGGCTTTAGGGGCGCATTTTCCTACAGGGTCTCTTCGGTATGGTCCAGTAATGTTACAATATAAATGGCGATCGCAGCGTCCCAGACGATACGATAAGCCACCGCAGGGTTCACCTGGGACACAAATCAGAAAATTTTAGTCAATGATTCGTGTATGTGGATACGATTCAAACAAACATCTTCTCAAGAGAATGACACGTGGTCTAATATAGAAAAACAGTACGCCCAAGGTATAAAAATAGAGGATATTACATGGGCGCGCGGAGATACGAATTTTATCTTCGAGTGTTGAAATGATCTCTCACAAGTAAACGCAGCGCACGAGTGCATGATATATCTAAATTGAACACGAGAAGATAAAATTCGTATCTCCAAGCGGCCATGTAATGTTCTGTTTATTATATGGATATCGATGAAACTTAAGGTGACTGCCTACTTTTGGAAATTGATTTAAGCTTTTCTTAAAACTTCGATTTTCCGAATTGAAATTTAATGCTGATTCCAAATCTGGAAAGAAAAATAGGGTGTCCCGAGCTCGTTTTAGAGATAATCAGCATTTAATGGRAGCCTACGCACGAGCTTTTGGAGTAAAAATTGCGCCACCGGAAGTGATTAGAAAAAAAAAAAGATTCATAAGATAATAGTTAATAGCAGACTCTATGATTGCACGAACGAAGGCTAGTCAATCATTCTACAATAATACATGGATATTTTCGACAAAAAGACAGAGAGATACATTGATTTGTCATATTTTGTAGTTTCGGTGCTCTTAAAAATTCTCATAAAGTCGAACAAAAAACTCTACAAAAATCTATTTTTTCACGTGTTCCTGATTTAAACTTTTCCTAAAATGTTGATATAACCTTGATTCTTAGGAGTTTTTTCGAATGAGCTATCAAAAAATATAGAGTCCCTGTTGAAGCTCAAAACGCGTATGGTTCTTCAATAAAATCTTTGTAGATTTTTCAGCGGTTTTTGAGCGCGCGCACATCGTGGGCTCAAATCGAACGTTCAAAAGTAGGCAGCCACCTTAAATAAAACAAAAGCTCAATAATTCTTTATTAAAATACGTTACTATGTCAACAGCGATATCTTCACGTGTGAAAGATATGGTATCTTCCACTGGTGAAAGATATCAAGTTTTCGACACAAGAGAAAACCTGGTATTTCATCGATATCTATATAATAAAGGATCATTACACACAGCTAGTTCACTTGCCTTCAACTTTCAAGCATATTGAGCAACAGTTACACTCATCCATTGAGGACCCACCCAAGCAGTTTGTCTGATTAACACAATCATCAAGAGCACATGGTGTACATCCCCCGTTACTAGGCACTACCACTGATGCCTTGGTAACCAAACACGTGACTGCGGTAACCAAGACAACCGTGTTCAATAGGCGCAAACAGCTGAAATGCTAAAGTAGTTCAGAAGGGGTTAGAAAGAAATGTAAAAAGTGGTTTTTAAAAGGGATAATATTCAAGGGAATGACATATGGCCCGTGGGAAAATATTACGCTCAAAGTAAAAGCGTCGATAAAGAAATAATACTCAAGGGAATGACATATGGCCCATGGGGAAATATTACGCTCAAAATAAAAGTGTCGATAAAGAAATAATACTCAAGGGAATGACATACGGCCCATGGGGAAATATTACGCTCAAAGTAAAAGCGTCGATAAAGAAATAATACTCAAGGGAATAACATATGGCCCATGGGAAAATATTACGCTCAAAGTAAAAGCGTCGATAAAGAAATAATACTCAAGATAATGACATGTGGTATGAAATAGGAAAACTTACGCCCAAAGTAAAAGGGTCCATAAAAGAAATAATACTCAAGGAAATGACATGTGGTCTGAAATGGGAAAACGTTACGCCCAAGGTAAAAGGGTATATAAACCAGAAGAAATAATACTCATGGGAATAACACGTGGTCTGAAATGGGGAAACATTACGCCTAAAGCAATAAAGAAATATTAACTTGAAAGGAATGACATGTGATCCTACATGGAAAAATATTACGCTCAAATAAGAAAAAAATGATATTTCCATTTGTTTATTTACTTTTGTTTATTTACTTTTTCGATATCTTAGACCAAGTGTAAAGTCGTTCATTTTGAATTTTTCTGCCGTTGTTTTTATTCAAGGTAACGATGGAAATTACACTATAGATAGAAAAAAATACCAGTACCCTAGCTATATGATAAACCAGGCAATGACTCAACAAAACGTTTACAGTTCTCTAATATAAACTAGAGTCTTTTGCGGTCACTGTGAATTCTAGAGACAGACTGAATGATTGAAGTATGTCGAGTTTATCTATATTCCATTTAAAAATGGACAGTTTTATCAATAGAAATGTGACCTAGAAAACTCCCCTTTTTTCGTTTATAGTATTATATGTACAAGTAAGTTTTCACTTTTTTATAACATACATACCTCCAGCATTGCGGTGCCTTTGGCTACCCTTCATATACAGAAAAAATATATATAGACACTACGGCTGGTAGAGAAAATCTCTAACTGTTCGACATGGAAAAACCTTGTGAGAAACGCAGGCTTAAAAATGATTAAACGAATTAACAAGATATTAGCAGAACTGAGTGAATTTTGAGGGCTTGCAGGTCGGGAATTCGAGGTTGGCTAAACAGTGTATCGTAAACTCGAGTATCGTGTGTTTGATGACAGGTGCCTTGATTCATGGATCTGTGTTTGAATGTCACACTCAATGGTTTCGAATAAATACCCTATTAACAGTGAACAATAAACTGGAACACGGTCTTGAATTCTTATAATTGAGTTAAGAAAACTGTTTGAGAAAAAAAATGTTTTTTTTTTTTCATTTTAGCAATCAAAACGTGAAAAGTAGGCAAAAATTTTGTTGAAGTTCGAAAACAAAATAACGACGAAATCATCAAAATATGCACAGAATGTAAACAAAGAAAAATTTTAAGTGTCAAGTGCAAAAAGTTCAATTAATTTACCAAAGTTCAAGAGAATTGTGTCGAGTCAATAAGCTTTGCGGATGCCTCAATTAGTTCTGGTTAAATCACTCAATGAGTGAATAGGAAAATCCAGTTTTTGTATAAATTTAAAAATATTTTGACAACAAACGCTAACAGCGAACAGACGAATGAACAAACACATCAACACTCTTGTTCGTAAGCTAAAACTGGATTTCCAACTCAACTTTCCCATGTAATTTCAAATTTCATTTAAATTTGAAAATTTCGTCATCTTTCCACGAATGCATTGCTTTCTCTTTGTTCAAGAGAATATCTCCAAAAATAAAGTTTTTGAGTTTTAAAGTCCAATGATAAAATTTCCGATATAATTCGAAATGGAAAATATAAAAAAGAAAAATGTTTTGTGGAAACGTTTGGATTTTGCAAGATATAAAATACATTTTTGACTTTACTTTTTCATATTTGTTTAATAGATCCTTTTTTTTTTCTTCTTTTTTGAATCTTTTGTAATGCATAGAAGTTCACTACCATCTCGGCCGACATAGCAATGGCAATGGTTTGTAAAACGTTTATTTTAGTTCGGGGGAGGGGGGGGGGGCACGTCTTTCGTTAGTGAATATAGCATCTAGCATGACTTTTCATAGACCCTACAAGGTCTTATTGCACTTGATGGCTGTGCTGGGGGAGGGCAGAGGAGGGAATATCATCATGCTTCTCATGTAACAGCATCCCCCTGGAAGTCAATGTATACAATAACAGTCCAGGGGGGAGATGACCATATATTGTACACTACAGTATTGCTATATCATGACCTCCCTTATTCTTTCTCTCTGTATTTCAATCATCCAGGGCAACTACAATTTTGTCTCTAAATGGTGACACATAAGTTACTCCAGCTGCTGAAAACACACCCTTTGGTATCCCAACATCCCCTAGGAATAGCCGTCCTGCTGTCGGTGTTCCAACCTAAAGAAATAGCCATAACATAAAAATAATGCAAGTACCCAGATGACTGGGCATAAAATTTCAATACCAAGGAGCCAATCTTTCTAAATTAAATTTGAATTTATCATTTTACAGAGAGGTCCACTTCTAAACAGTCAGTGGGGTAAATTATATTTTTTTGGGGAGGGAGGGTGGAAATGTTAGATTGAAGACTCAATGTCTGTAGCTTCTATGATAATGTTAAAGGTTTTTTTGGGGGGGGGGGGGGGGGGGGAATAGGGATAAGATAAAACATCCTTGCAAAGTGAAGTTAAAGTTAGTAGTACTTACAAGAGGCAGGCCTAATGCTAACGACCATTTCACTTCCAGCCCTACAAGCAAATGACATTCATCAGGTAATAACCCCACAAAACCAGGCAAAGTCAGGCCCATATCCCACCAAATGAGGCACCTGGGTGTTGCCAAGACTGACCTTATCATACTATGGCTGCAGTTCCACTTGGGTTTTTTTCGGTGTTACACCAGTTTTTACTCTGAATTTTAGTGTTTTGAATGGAATCACTCACTGTAGACATTTTGATATTAGTGTTTGCTGCCCTGGTAATGCAGTTAATTCAAAGCATTTTCACCACAGTGTAAACTGTGCTAGATAGGACGGTTTACCGGTGTAACTCTAAGGCTAATTATTTGAAGTCTACTTCTTGACAAATAGTTAGGTTTCACCTAGTGAAACCTAGCCACATGAATGTCGACATTTATGCCAACAATGGAATCGGTCTAAAGCCAAAGAATCTAACAGCGGTGTAAATTGAGGGTAAAACCAGAGTAATTCAGTGTTAAACTCCTAGTGGAACCGCAGCCTTGATAATATTTGAATGTTTACCTAATGATGCACTGTGCTCACAGGGATCTATTGAGAGTACTGGGGCCTTATTGTTGTTGGCCCATTCTATTGCCGTCAGGGTCTGTTCTAATACTTGTTTGCTCTGCTCATGACCTGATAATGTATCTATGACCAGGTCCACTGGGAGATCAGGAAAATCTGGGGGGAAAAGATTGTCATCACTATTATTATCTAATTATTTCAATTTATTATCAATTAACCCGTGAAATAAAAATACCAATCAACGTGTAATATTCAAATAGACACAAAAGAAAACAATGGAATTAAGGAATTAAGGTCTACTAAGGTGTATTAGTCTAATATCTATTTCACGGGTTTAATGATTTTATTCTATTATTATAGATATCATAACTACAAAAACAATCAATGTTGGTAATGTGTTATCATGATCTTCACAATCATTGTCATCATCATCATCACTTTAGCACTTCAGCATTATCATCAGCAATATCATTAGCATATCAACCCAATTATTATCATCATGGACATCATGATCATGTGATGATGATGATCATCATCATAATTCTTTATCACCATCATAATAAATTAATCACAATCGTGATTCACTATGATCATCATTGATTCATCATCATCATTAGCATCAACATAATTATCATCATCATCACTAACTTCAGCATCATCATCACCGACATCATATCCTCATATTAAAAAATCATCATCATCATCATTTGAGTATGGCTATCTATTAGCACATCAGTTTATCATGTTGCTTGCACTTTTGTTTGTCTGTCTTTCTCTATTATATTTTCTTATCTTTTCATCATTAAATAACATCTAGCCGGTTCTCATAAGTACCTCTGACYGATGATGCTAGTGCTGCTCCTGTATGCATATACAAAGCAAGCTGTGGTATAAGGTCCTGTAGAACAACAAACATAACTAATAAATATTGCGTTGGGTATCCTGTGGTCTTATGTACACAGGCAAACCATAACTAGAGATTCGGAAAATGTAAAAACCATACATGAATACTTACTTGAGTCTTACGAGGAATAAATAATGTTACTTGAATCTAAATGAATAAAAAAAGATATAAATAAAAACATGAATGAAAGAATGAATGAATGAATGAATGAATGAATTGAATGAAAGAAAAAACTAATAAATAAATTTCTCTTAAATCAAAAAATTATTGAGAAGGTACGAAGGAGGAGAGAGCAAGAAGAAAGGAGGGGTGTTAGGAGGGCAAGGAGAGGACGGAAGGAGGGAGGGGTTATAGTAGACAGACAGACAGACAGAAGACAGGAAAGTCACCTAAATTATGTCTTACATTTTTATTGGCTAGGTGCCGAGCAGCACATATTCCATGTAATCCTTGTAGATGTGGTCCTGCCATCACCACCACACTCGCACGCTCATTAATATTATTTGTAAATCTCTGAGATCCACCTAGTAAAGATATAAGTGCATATATTAAATACCTTTCTCACCAACTGTTGGCATAATATGGTGGTATATAACAAGACATACCAGGCCAAATCATCGAAAATTTGTTTTTACTATAAAAAAACACAAGAAAGGTTTGGGAAAAAACGATTTCAAGCAAGCGCTGGCTCTGTGCACAAGAAATTCGTAATTTGTTGTCATAATTTGTTGTTATGTCCTCCTATTTTCCACGGCTCTCAACCAATCAGAGAACAAGAAAATTTACATTTGTGGTAAAAATACTAGTTATACAATGGTTTTATTTTGTGTATACCATGGAAAATGTTGTCTTTCCATCTGTTTGATTACCCTGGTCCCAGAGGCTCGACGATTTTTCTCCCGGCCGTCGAGCCTCTGGGACCAGGGTACGGTTTGATTGGCTGTAATCTCAATGCCGTGGTATAAATTTTGAACCATCATACAGGATGTATAAAACCTGACATGAAGTGAGCTAATCAGCTATGAAATTACCTCCATACCTAAAACTTGTACAGCCATTTGAAAAGCACACATCCCTGCACATTCTATTCTCTGTTCTCTTGATAATCCCATTCGTTCTTTAATGAAAAGAAAAGAGCTGAATTTTTAGACAACAATTTAACATACAAAATCACATATTAACACCACAAGCATGGCTGGTGTTTTTTTGGATTCTCTTTAGAAAGACTCCAAACAAGCCTCTAATCATGGAATAATCCCTACCTGAGGTTTCAAATATTAAGTCTTTGAGTTCCATGGAAACGGCAGGAACAGCAACACCAACATCTGTGACAAACTCCTTCCCTCTGTGTTCAGGAGGCACACAAACTAAGAAAAAACACAAAGAAAATATTTGCTGGCAAAAAGAAATTTTAAGTTTTCATGAAAGAGGCTTTGTATATTATTTCCTGTGAACAATAAGTTCATGTGTATAGCTTCTTACGTAATACCATAGGATATCCGGTGGGGTATAGGGGAATGCAATGTGGCTCACCCCCCATCTGCCATACGTAAGCGTACACATGACTTTCAATCGGCATCCATTCAATGCTGACAGTCAACAAGACAACATCTAAACCTTTTGCTTACCGCCTCCCCTTGCTCTACTGCTTCAGCATTTTTAGCCCCCTATCTTTACTGGGCCAATTGGTAAAAAACTGTAAATAGTACATTTTGATTATATACATTTATTAAAATGGCTATGGTCATTTGCCCATAGCCAATTTGATCCAATACTGGAGTAATTGTTCATTGATGACTATAAAAAAATAACGGGGTTCTTATATAGCGCATTTTACATGGTCTCAGTGCACTTCACAATCATGACCAGTGGAGGACTTTACGGGCTGCGTATTTAGGCGCTAGTAGCAGCCGTGCAGCTCACAATCATGAGTGATTTATTAGTAAATTAGTATTAATGCCTTTAGATTGGGATAGGCTGTTGAACCGGGAGACAATCCCCTACTCTTATACGAATAATTCAACAGGTTCTTTTATGTCCTTGTCCGAGAAGACTTGAAGGTCTAACCATCAGCAGACGTAATTACAAAGGCAGCACCTTCTCCTCAGTTATTTCAAGACCCTGAGTATTGGTCTGGCCAAGGCTTGAACCACGAACTCCCGCACAACAGACCAACGCTCTTACCAACTGAGCTAACCAAGTGACTGGCCCCGTAAACGAGCGGCAAGTAAAGCAGCATACCCACACATTTTTCTGGTTATTTCAGCCCAAGTGAAATCATAAAAGAGTTTTTGAAATATTATAAATACTCTTTAGGAACTAGCATGCATACCATTATTCATTTATACAATTTTTTTTAAGTTTCAAAAAGGTGCACTTTGGTCTACCTTGAGCCAAAATATTTTTGTATGCAGTCAAGCTAGACCAGAATGCATCAGGGGTATAATACAGTAAGCAAATAGAAAAGGCATGCGCCCAGGCTACTGGTAGACCAGAATGCATTGGGTTCATTCACCCAA